ACAGTTTTTTTTTCTCATCACAAAATGTTACACAGATGGATTTTTAGCATCATTACAATGTATGTGCTAATAAGTTAAACAGGGGAAGTTTAGATTGGATGTAAGGAGGAAGTTTTTTACTGTAAGGGTGGTAAGGCACTGGAATGGGTTGCCCAGGGAAGTTGTGAATGCTCCATCCCTGGTGGTGTTCAAGGCCAGGTTGGACAGGGCCTTGGGTGACATGGTTTACTGTAAGGTGTCCCTGCCCATGGCAAAGGGGGTGGAACTAGGTGATGTTAAGGTCCTTTCCAACCCAAACCATTCTATGATTCTAAGTTATAGAGACAGATAGAATGCAGTACCGAGAGTTTATTGTATATATAATCCTTATAAATTACTATAAAATATATGAACAAGTTCTGCTAAGACAAAAAAGGGTACAAAAATGGCTTTTAGGATCTTTCCCCAAAGATGAAATTGTGCTTACTATTTATCTTGCCCCTCCTGTCCTAGGCTGTACATTGATTGCTCTACGTAAAAGTATCCATCCTTTCTGGGAGCTGTCATACTGATACTGTAGGTAATGTCAAGACAGGGGCTGAAGAGCATAAATGCAGAGATCTTAGAACTTGTGAAAGTCTTAGAAAATGTACTGCAGCTTCACAGATGCATGTCCCTTTTGGATGCATTTTTGAGGATAGTAGCAGGGCCAAGTGGGTGGGAGTTGACATGACTTGTGCTGGAAAAGCCTGTTGTCAAGGCTTTTTGAGACAGAGTACGCAAAAGTCTTGTCTCCTTCTTACAGGATTTTGGTAGGATTTATATTCTTAACCCCAGGAATCCATGTGCTGCTTTATCTTTCTGGTGTGTTTCACTCAGGCTTGGATCATGCTTCCACAGACAGCTCAAGAGTTAAACCTCCAAAGTATTTAATCTTGAGACAAGATTGTTAGCTCAGTTTCAGTAAGGCTCAGTGCGGAACTGTGCTGTTGAATGGTATTTCATTATCTGTAACAAGAATAACTGAGAGGAGAAACCATTGTGGGGACTAGAATTTGGTAAAATTATCTCTGCGGCTGACCAAAGCATGACAAAAGACAGTGTTTAACAACACAATAAAAGTTGCTTGTGCCTTTTTTCCTCCATGTGAAGGAAGAAACACTGTGGTGTGTTTAAGGATTGACCCTACATTCTCTTTGCAAAGTGGTGAGACATAAGCACTACTTATTAGCTACACCAGCCACAGGCATCTTCTGTGGCCACTTCACACTCTTGAACCCCGGGAGGAGAGGTGCCGTTTTGTGACCACAGGATTGCAGTTACAGAATGAAAGTACAATAGTTTTTGGTTCTGTGGGAGAAAAAAATCACAGTGGCAATGAAACTAGCAGCTGTGAAAATAAATCCCATACCCTTCTGTGGGAAAAAGTAGAAGAAAATATATTTATTCTGAATCAGCAAACTTGAGCATTCAGTCAGGTTGCAAGAAAAATTGTAAGATCAGACACTACTTATGTTTTATCATTTTTTAAGACAGGTTTTTGTAAATTGCTGGTCCACTCTCTCATGACTGGTTGATTGAAAGGAAGAAAGCAAGGAAGGAAGAAAGGGTAAGTCATTGTGGAAAATATTTTCTGCCACAGTAGCATGTAATTATGTGACAAGAAAAAACCCAGCATCAGGCTGTGCTGCAGGCAAGACATTGTATTTTGTTTGGTGGACTTGAAAATAAGTGACATATTTCAAAACTGTTAACTGCCTCTAGTTCTTCTCTGCTTATACTCACAAACAGTCTGGTTCAAAAATAGCCAGTTCCTGGGAAGAGACTTGATTTGGTCAGTTCTTTTTCTAATAGTTTGCTTGTGGAATTAAAGGTGCATGTGCTTCAGCAGCTGCACTCTGAGAGACTAAAAGCAGGCAGGCTGTTCTCAATAAGCAGGGAGTAATTTTTAACCAAGCTAATGATACAAAATTGGTCTGTGCGGTATGTTATGGTAACTTGCTCAATTCAGTTTTCAAAAACCTGTGTTGGTCATACTAGGTATTCCTGAGATGAACAGGCAAGAAAGCACTTGCAATCCAAACAATCCCATTTTGAAATGCAGTATTTTCCTCCAGTGGATGAGACTGAATGTAACAAGAGCATTAACAATGGCAGATTCACTTGGGGTTGTGGATCAGCTCCTTAATTCTGATGTGCTGCAGGCCATTTATGAAAAAACTGAGCAATCTGCAGCTGAGGGTGCAATCTCATTTCTTTAATTTCATCCTTGGCCACCCCACCAGCTAATAATTGAGGTAAAAATTAATTGCCTGCTGAATTCAACAGTTGAATTTAACACTTCTTTGATGTTACTAGGATTTGAGTAGGGGCAAATGGACTGCAATGCAGTCCTTGTTGCTTCAGTTCCTCTCACTAGCTTTGCATTTGCAATATTGCTGAAATACATGCAAGCATCTGTTATTTAGTCCCTTTCCAAGGTTCCATCTGTTAAGGCAGTAGAGAGGAAACGGAGGTTTGTTTCTTGATATCCATAGGCCTTTTGAGATGCACCCGGTCCCATCATTTTTAGTAGCCGATGCATGCTGATTGATTTCTCATTGTTTCTATTTTCTTGAAAGACCAGTGTATGAATTTTAACATGCCATATACTCAGTGACAGACAATAATAAAGCATACTACTTTGACCTTTTCAGCTGCCTGCACTTTAATTTACTGTCTGTTCTCATTCTCTTTTGTTTATGGCCCCTGAATATAACTGGCAAGGAGAAAGTAGAATGGACAGCTAGTCAAGACACAGATCATTTAAAAGGCTAAAGCATAGCTTTACCATTGTGTAAAAGTTTATGGTCTTTTGTGGGTGATAGTGAGCGTTAGAATAGTGATAGCCCGTTCTTTGTTATAGAAACACAAGTGGCAAAGTTCAACTTCATTTGTAGCAGTTTATGGGCCAGCATCAAGTTTCAGCAGTGGCGGTGTAATCTGGACTATACCTTATAGGAGTTAATGGTTTTTCTCCGAGTTTTATGAATAAGCTTATGTTTGATTGATGGTTTGGCTTCGTGAGCGAAGATTTGGGAAGGGCTTTAACCACGCTTAGTACAAGCACGATGACCAAGGGCATGTGGGACATGCAAATCTCATTGGAGAAAAGGGTGCTTAGGCAATCAGGAAGTGTCAACCAGGACTGCCATCTCCTGAGCAATCTCGAGCTACCCATGCAGTGGTCCGCCCGCATGCAAGGTTGGATCTTCAGCTTCCCATGCACCTTGTCACCTGCCGTTTCGACCCTCGCCTGTCCATACAGACAAGTGAGAGTAAGCCCTTCCAGCCTGCGCAGTGGATTTTTTAGGTGAGGCACAGCTTGCGCAGAACCGGTCCCACCCTTTACACCTGAGGTTTAACTGCCACGGCCTAGCTACCTAGGATGGTGGCAGCAAAGTCCTCAGGTTGTAGGTTTTGTAAGAGTGTCCTTCTCTTTGATGGAAGACCTTACAAGGCTAGACGAGCTTCGTCTACCCAGGTTTGAAGATAGGAGTTTTCCTTCTCCTGTGAGGAAGGCCTGTCTTCGCTAATGAAGATTCGGGAAGGGCTTTAACCCACACATTCTGAACACGACTGTCATCTCCTGAGTCAATTTCAAGCGACAATGATGCAACAGCACAACATCAAGCATCTAGGCGGGATTCTGACTTAGAGGCATTCAGCCATAAACCTGCAAATGGTAGCCTTGCGCCGATGGCTCCTCAGGCAAGCACCTGGACCAGGGGTCTGAACCTTGTGAGACAGGTAAGTTTTACTCTATTGATGATGTGTTGTTGCAATAGTAATCCTGCTCAGTATGAGAAGAAGCCTACGTGATTTTGTTTGGACGTGGCTATGGTTTCTTTGTGTTCTCACCTGGCCATTGCTCTGACTCCAGCTTGATTTGCAATACCTAAGCCTGATGCAGGCTGTGGCAAATTTCCTCAGCCTCAGAGCCACGAAGATGGTAATTTGTCTGACTGATGCACAGAAGTGAAAATGGGTAACAGCTGCCTGTGATCTTTCTCCATGCACTTGTGAAATACAAGCCACAGACTCTTTGTGTTTGGTTGTTACCAGCACACAACAAAAATCCTGGTCATCCTTCAGCTTGATGCAAGTTAAAAAGATATTTTCATAGTAAGAATGGTAAAAAAAGAACAAAATGATCTGTTAAAAACTTGTTTCTGCAGGGAGGTCTGAGATTTTAGTGATGCTGCAATGGGAAATGAAAGTGACAGCAAAGCCTGGATTTTCATGGCAGAGCTGTGTGTGTAATAGGTTGGTTTAGCTTTTTTGGTGGTTCTAAAAAGCTGCAAGTGAGATCTATATAATAAAAAGAAAAGGATGATGAAAAGGGTTTAAAAAAAAGGCAAAAAAAAAAAAAAAGCAGTGGCTTTGGTCATTTGTTTGTTTCATTTTCTCTCTATTTAATTGTTTTGATTTCAATCTTGCTGTTAGGTTTTGAATTTTTATGTCTCTGTGGGTTGCAATAAAAAATACAACTAGAGGGATGAGTAAGGGTAGCCAAAGGTTGATTACATTCTGTTGCTCACTGCATAGGTTTGTAGATTTTTAAGGTAGAAGGGACTGTGATGCACTTCTAAACTGACCTGTATGCATTAAATTTTACCCACTCAGTACTGCAACAAGCTTAACAACCTGTGGCTCAACTGACTCAAGTTTCTTAAAGCATATATCAGTCTTGATTTAAAAACTTAAAGACTTAAAAAGATGTAGAGAACTTTAAGATTAAAGAAGGTGGAGAACATCCTCCAAGACCTCTGGATAATCTTCTGCCACTTATAAACTCAATTTAAAGAAAAGGTAAAGAGAAACACACCTCCCTATTTCATTATTCTGAGTTCAATTTACAGCCTGTAGAGGTAGGAATAATGTGCCTCAAAGACTGAAGAGTCTTAAAAGCATTAGAAATGCTCTTTCTGATTGAAGAAATTAACAGTGGTTAATTACTAACCTTTCACGTTTCTTTTTAGGAAGCAGAGAGGAAGTCAAGAGGACATCCTACCTCATGAATCCATAGAGCTCAAACTCACTTAACTCTGCTCCCAAGTTGGCATGGGTCAGACACTGCTGTCTGGCATGTGTTGACTGGAAAGATGTCACTCAGCTCCAGGAGATCAATGGGGCTCACTGTGGAGTGAAGCATTACTAGCAAGGTAAAAATATCAGAATGAAAGAATGAAGGTATTTGGTGCAGCTGGCCAAAAATTTCCCATCCCAGTACTTTCCTTCTGAAAACTCTGGTTAGGATGAAAGTCTCTTTTCCTGAAGCAAAATTTGCTGTGATGAACTTAATGCATTATTTTCATTTGGGGTTTGAAATGTTCTGGTTTTGTTTGGGGCAAGACAAAATGAAGCTCTGTGTTGAAAGGTCAAAGCTCAGAAAAAAACCATGCAAAAATTCAGACACAAGGCGTATTTCTATAGGATAAGATTAATCTAACTTCCAATTATGTTTATTTAACTTTTTTTATCATCCAGTCCTACTTTTCTTTAAATATACCGGGTTTTTGTGGAGATTCACTAAAGAGGTGGGCCAAAAATGGAAGGAGAATTCAGGGTATGAGCTGGTTTTGAAATGCTTGACACTATAGTAAGAGGGAGCTCAGACTGTGGTTTTACAGATACAGATATTTGTCCCAGTTTTCTTCAGCAACATAAATTAGCTCAGCTCTTTTGCAGTCATGGGATCAAATTTCTAACTGATATGAATCACAGCTATGAGTCAAATTTACATCTGGAATAAAATGACAGAGCTTTCTTCATTAGATCAGGTGGACCAGATCTAAATTCATGAAGTTGCCTTGGTGCAGATTTGACCTCTTTGAGGTTTTACTGAACAATCTGAACCATTGCTGAGGAGTTCTCAATGCAGAGTTCAAAAACTGAGAAGCTTGGAGCAGGGTGGCTTGGTCAGATGTTTCTAAAATCAGTCTTCAGAGGTATTAATACTGTTTATACTGTTATTCATATAAGAGCTGAAAAGGAAGAGAAAAGAATGATGCTTGCTGATCTTGCAAATTACGGTCTAAATAGTGTAAGGATACAGAAAGTAACCTGCCTTCTGTACATCCTGTGCTATCATTTTTTATTTTCCATTCTGTCATTTTTTATTTTTTTTCCTCTTGGATGACTTTTACTGCTTGCTGCGCCACGTGATCTGCAGACACAGTCATGTGGGGGGGGTGGAGGGACAGAAATCGCAAGGTGACTGTGCCCTGATTTACAGAAGCAGCTCAGAAGGGCAAAGATGCTTTCTTCCACTGTGGCTTCTGCTTTGTGCTCAAGCAGCTGCCTTCTGGTGCCTCACAGGGAGATTTTTTTGAGTTTAGATGGTTATCTATTAATAAATATTCTGAGGCTTTGCATCCACAAGGTTTTTCATAGCCACTACACCTTAATGATGATCAAAGAAATTGTCCTATTCAAAGAGGACTTCACAATTCTCGTTGGTGTCCTGTGCCAAAAAAGCCCCTCTTGAAAGATTTCCCAATAGACAGTCCTGTAGTACCTTACTGGGCACTCTTACATTACGTTAACATGTCTAGAACTGTGCCAGACACATTTAAGATAGCTTTGATTTTCTGCTGAGTCCTTCTACCCTCCTCTGAATACATAGATACCTTTGTATTTCAGTCACTACTGCCTCTGAAGAAATAGAATAAGGTTATATATCATTTTTGCTACCTATGGCAAACAGAAGCAAATGCCGTTGTAGCAGAAAGATGCAGTCATGTCATGCCAGCAAGATTTTACTCAAGTCCTTGCCCCTCCCCTGTCAGAAAGGTATGGGTTTCTAGCTGTCAGGAACAGAGCAGCAAACCCCAAATTCAGAAACCTACTGAGAGCCTGAAGGACCCAGTGCTGGCTGCTTTTTTGGTCTCAGCTTATGTTACTTTGTGGTCTCTTTATAAGCATTAATTTAAGCATTTGCTTTTTATATATTGTATTGATTAAGTAATGTAAGAATATGTAACAACATGAGAAGATCCCTTGTCAGAAGAAGAAGGCTTTTCATTGACAGGGCTTACAGAAGGTAAACTTTCTGGAAAAGATGATTGTAAGATGACTGTTGATGCTGTCTTTTTGCAAATCTCAGCATGTGCTTGTCAAAGAAAAAAAATGGAAATAAGTCAAATGCAAGATGGTAAAGCTTATAAAAGTGCTGCTCAGAAAATTTCTTGACTGTTATGACAGTTCTTGTGCTATGCCCATTTAGTTTTCTGCAAGACTCTCCCAAATCATTCCTGTATAATAACTTTGCGAAAGAAAAGGATTAAAAAGAAAAACCCACTCACTATGAGGACATCTGTTCTTCCAAAGTTATTCCTGCTTTTCTGATCTTTGCTTTGAGGAGGTAAGTTCATTTAGGTACATTTCTGGAAAGACTTGGGCTTAACCGTGTTTTCAGAATGATGTTGTGTCCCATCCCCTATATATGGCTCTAAAACTGGGCTGTGCCTTCAGAGACAGTTACTTGCTAAGATAGATCAGTGCTATCGGGTTCATTCTTTTAATGTGCCAGGTAACTTGGACTTAAGAATAAAAGCACATTTTCAGTTGAGGGAGTAGTTTTTCAAATGGGAACAAAATTGAGGATATCCTTAATGAAGGCACTGCTTAGCTGTTTCCGCCTATTTATTAACACAAGTTGCACCTTTAGTACCTAAAATGAATGCTGCTAAAATGTGATTATGTTGCTGCTTTTACACTGTAGTTGTCTTTCTCATTGTTCGATGTGATTGTTCCATGGTACATTTGGCGAAGACTTAAAGAATGAAGAGTACCTTTCTACCCTATTCCTGAATAGCAAGGGATTGGCATATAAATTCAAAGAGCCTTACACTGTTAAAGAAATAGTTTATTTAGCTCTTGGACTTCTGCTCAGAGTACACAACGACATAATTTTGTGCTTTTCAGAAAACAATGCACAGACTATTTTTTTTATATACTTTCCTAATTGCATGGCTTGAGAAGCTGGGATTATAAGAAAGAATACCAACTATCAAGACTTACGATAAAATTAGAAGTGTTGGTCAATCACATAGTCCATGTTGCTTTTCAATAAGCTCTTGCTTGTAAAGTCACCAAGACAGGTATGCAGGGTGATGAGATAGTGTGTATTTTGCTATATTAATATAGTTTATTTTTTTTCTGATTCATGAGGTTTTTAGTGTAAATTCAAAATAAAATTATTTTACCAGTGAAGTTAAAAAAAAATGCACTTCTTCCCACTCAGCTGACATTAGTATATGTGTTTGCTTCACCTAAAATGCTATACGATATTCCAAATTTATTGTGACTGTAAACAACAACTCTGCTTGCTTTATAGCTTTCCTGAGCTCCAACAGTAAAACACAATATCTCTATCTGGTTGGAATTATGTGTTATAACAGTTTTATGGTGGGGGGAGTAAAGCTCTGATAAAGATAAAATAGTTTTGCTTTTTTGTGTGACCTTGTCATTTGAAAAAACATTGCACTCTAACGAGATATAATTTAAAAGACCTCTGGGAGCAAATTGAGTTTACTGAGATATTTCTAAGAGTAATTACTTACTGTGAATTGTCAGTGTGCTCTGTTACAGTTCCTTTCCTAGCAAATGTATGTATCTGGGACTGTGTAGAATGGATTAGAGCTCCCACCATTAATGTTTGATGGGAGACAGTAGTGAAAAAGATGGATGCTTATATAACTGACATTTCCAGCATTTATGGCCATAGACTAAAATGCCAGGCACATAATTTCAAGTAAAATGGCAGACCCAACTCGATAATATTTAATGATGTAGTAGACCTTGGCTAGGAGAATAGCTAATGGAACTCATTGCATTGCATTTATCGTATTGTTAAAATGAGTTGAATAATAATTGTGTTTTGCAGGAGTTTTGTTTTAGAAATTTATTTGAGATCTGCTACTCTGAAAATAAATTATTTATCATTCCAGTCAACACAAAATATAGGAGAGACTTCAAGCTAGTTAACTGATAGCAAGATTTTTACGCTGACTTTGTCCTGGTGTTTACAGCACAAAAATATATTCAGTAGCTCAGGACATATTTCAGAAGATTGGGTAAGATTAATTTGAAAAGATAGTGAAAGATTGAATTACCTCTCAGAAGAATCTCCTTTTAGTAGTTTAACCCTTTACAAAGTTGGATATTTTTGTCTATCGTCATACTTCAAGGAATGTCAAGGTTAAGATTATGTGGGACATATTATATCAAAGCGATACTTGCATAGCAGGGCTATGATATTGCTGGTGATGCCAACAAATAGAATATTGACTTCTCCAGTACCCTTCTGCTACTATTTTAGAAAGCCTGGAATAAGCAATAAGGATTTGAACTGATGGAGAACCACAAATTGATGAAGGTCTGTATGTGTCTTGATACCAGGTCTGCAGCCACATAGTCTCCCAGGACTCTTTCCCTGGCAGTTTCTTGACATTGAAGGCACAGAACAAAGGTGGAGTTGAGAAAGAAGTGTGTGTGCCCTTCCATTTGTGGGCCTGTAGGATTTCCATTGGGAAGCCAATGTAGCAGTGTGTAAAGTTAGGTCCTCCAGCCAGAGCCAGGTCATTGTGCAGGCTTTCCATAAGTTTGCAAATGAAAAATTGACAATATATGCATTCAAGTTCAAGAAAAAACTAAAAAACCCTCCAATTATTGCTTTTTGAATCAGAATTTTGAAAGCATTCATCTCTTCCAAAATCCAAGCATCTTCTTTTCGGAATTCTGAATATTCTACCTATTAAAAAAAGAAAATTTGTGACTGGAAAGAAATAAAAGAACTCAGTTTTTCAAATGCCAAGGTAAAGTTGAATTTTTCAGGTTAAATTAATTCCAGATACACTACATAAATAAACAGAACACCAGAACACTGAATTGGCATATACACCTCCATAACAGTATATAACAGGTTCTTTTAGCTGTATATGAAAAAGTCATCAAGTTGAACCACTCTAGCCTTCAGATTTCAGGGGGCACAGAAATTGAGGACATGAAGGAGGTGGTGGTAGAAAGATTCCTTAAGTCAAAGGCCCTTTCCTTTGACTGCATCTTTAGCATGACCTGTTCAGCCTTGACTTCACCACAGTGTCTTGCATCACTGAAGATGCCTTTCCAGTGGATACAATCCCCTCAGTCCCCAGCAGGATTTAGTGAGAGAAAGAGCATCCCACTTGATAGAGCTTCAGAATGGGCTTTAGTTTTTCACTTGTGGACTATCACCTTGAGGAACCATTTTTAACTCTGTTCTACCATTACCAGAGCTCGTTACTCCTTTTTTCTTTTTTTCTTTTTTTTTTGCTAGAGGCATATAATTACCTGAGGTAAATGTAGGAAAATTTTATTTACCATATCCCCAATAGGCCACTATAATAGCTATCTGAAAAGACTGAGTTCTGAATAGTTAAGCTGCTTTCTTTCAGTGAAAATTATGCTTAATTTTGCTCTTAGCAGTACTTAGTAGGTCTTTCTGCTCTGTGGAGAAGTAAAACTGAACTAGGTAATAGCAACACTTCACATCCAAGCAGTAGACCAGGTTTATGCAAAACTTAAGGAGACTTTAGCTTAATTGCAGAATTTTTTAAAATAGTTCAAGCATGGAAGGAATGGGAAGGCTGATGTTAATAGATCTCATAGGTTAAGGCTGCTATAAGCCCCCAAGAAATGGAATGATGGAAAGTTCAGACATTAGAGTTGTAGGGGGCATCTCAAACCAATGATTAGGTGCTTATTTTTGGCCTCGCTTGTTTGGTACTGAAAGAACCAGTTGGCCAATCTCATCAGTTTTCTGAGCTGGTAAAACCACAGGGGTAGAGCAAATGGTAGTCAGAAGTGTAACTTCCTACCAAAGGCAACATTTCCTTTTGTTTCAACAGGGCCAAGATTTTCCTGTAGTGTGAATTTCTGGAAATTTAAACGTAACCTCTCTTGTTTCAGAACTTTCTAAAAACAATACCCAAAGGAGTTGGAAATTCCCCCTTGGAGTGTCAGCAGATGCCCAGAAGGCATCTCCAGGGACACTTAATTCTCTGGATCCTACCCAACTTATACTGAAGTTAATTGAAAAAACTCCCATTGACTTGAAGAGGTTTTGGATCTGGCTCAAAAGGCTCTTAGTGGCAGCAGATCACAAGAAGGAACCCCACTGCGCAAGTCCAGCCATCTGCTTGGGTAAGCATTTGATGATACAATGCTTGGTATATGTCATGAGGCACTTTTCTTCCAATTAGGCAATATTTTAGACTCAAGAAGATCTCTCCCTCTTACCCAAGGCCTTTGTTATGAGAGATCTATTCTGAGATGGTGATATATAAATTATCAATACAAGCTTATGCACAGCAGTGTCACGAATTTCTTCTCTCTGTTCTGCATATGTAAAAGCTTAAGCTAGTGCTAGATTAAGCTGGTGCTCAGATTCCTTTGTGTCTGCTGGCTGGATGTAGCACTGCCTACATGAAACAAGAAAATATGTCATCCTTCCTATCTCAAAAGCATGTTCAGTGGTACCATTGTCATTATCAATCTTACTATATCAGCTGTTGGGTTAGATGTGAGAACTGTTTTGGAGACAGAAGTATGCTGAATGCAATGTATAAGGACTCTCTTAATTAGCACACACAGCTGTGTGTTGCCCTTTTCATCTAAAACTGGTAAAGAAAGGGAATGATGTGTGTGGAAAGCATATTTAAAGGATGGTTGTCTTTAGTAGTATTGCAACATACCAGAGAATCAAATGAGGTTTGATGTAAAACACAGCCAGAAATTGTGTAAATTGCTGCAGCTGATTAGGAAACAGCAAAGCTGTTAGCATCCTGGAATGATGCATGTGACAATATTGCTCAGTGGTGTGAATTTGGAGGAGAGTAACTGAGCAGCCTTATTGCGTGCCAGGCCTCAGCGGTGTCCTGTTCCTGCTTTAATCATCAATTACTGTAATACTGGGGCAACCCACCAACAACTTAATTATTTTCTGGAGCTCCAGGCCATAGGTGGCTCTTCTAGGCTATCTTGCGTGGTAAAGTAAATCAACCAGCATGCGGGCTAGAAAGAAGTGTGCTTTTGCCTCTGTCTCAGCATAGGCACTCCTTGAGCTTGTGCTGGAAGTGTCTCAAGGTCTTTCTCTGTCAGGGAACCTGTTAAAAAGACAGACAACAATCTGTTTTATGAGCTTGAGGCAGCTGTGAACTACCTGTGCAGGGAGAAGTAGAAGGCAGCAGTTCTGGTTATGGAAGTAATGTTTTTTGCCCAGGATGAGCCTGCAGTGGAGTCTCATCCAAGCTCACTAAAGCTCCCAAGGTTCTCTTGATTGCTTTCAGTCAGTTTAGTCAAGCCTTTGGGCTCTTTTCCAACCAAGTGTTTGCCTCCAGGCATGAGAGTCTGATTTAATCTCCTTTCTGTGCTGGGCTAGATAGTGTCCTTGATAGGAATTTCCAATATGGATAATACAGACGTTTTGCTGCTTGTGGATTTTTGCTTATATTGGTCAGAAACATATTCAACATTCATTGTTCTGACCAATGCGCATTTCAATAAACATGCAAGAAGAAATTTCTCTGCAAGAGAAAGTCTTTAGCTCAGCTCTGAGAAACGGTTATGATTGTGAAGCTAGTGACATGGATATTTTCAGTTTTAGTATGGACTGCAATTGTCCTACAGTACCAGGGCTCATAGGTTGTACATGAGTGTCATTTAAGGAAATCACTTTCCAGATGTTGTATGCTACCGTACCCTGACATGGCATGAAATGTTGGATTTCACCCTGCTTCTGGCTGCTCTTCTGGGCAGGGACAGTGTGCTTCCAGCAAATGCCTTGCCCAGTCTTGCAGAGTTAGTTTACAAAGCTCTGCCTACTTTTTACTTAACTGTTCTTAAAACCTTGACATGCCAGGGCACAAGGTATTGAGTAAAGGTGCCTTTAATGAGATGGACACTTGTGACAGAGTAGTGCTTATACTGCCCCATGGAAATGGAGTGGAGCTGAGGTTGAGCCAGTCTATGAAAGAGCTGAATTCCTGAGATCCAAGCAAGACTGGTCAAGATGCCTTCTGAATACACTGAGGTGGTGCTAACTGGAAAGAATAGGTTTAATATGGGGCTAACAAGGCTGTGCTGCTCTAATAGGGTGCTGCTGTTTGACATGTGTGTCTGATAAGAACATTCACATCCTGAAATCTCATGGTAGTCCCCATGTGTGGCATGTAGCCAGTCATTTTGTAAAGAGCTGTAGCAAATTGCAGAAAACTAAGAGTTAAAATGCAGGCCAGCAAGTCTAAGTCATCGAAATTTCCTTCAAGATAATAGATCAGAGGAGCTTGCCCATTGTGTTAAAATGCCCAGTTAATTTGAGAGGCAAACAGATGGGAAGTTTTGGTAAGGTAGGAGACGAAAGGAGATAACAGAAGCTGCAGTTACATACACAAGATCTGCTCTGAAATAACAGCTATATATGGACATGATTTGCAGGATATTGCCCATATGCTTCCCAAACCTGCATCCTGGCTGCAATGTTTTCAATTACATCCCCAAATGCTGTCACATCTTTTATAGTGTTGTAGCTGAGAGGGGGGTTGAATGTGGAGCTGAGCAAGCAGCAAGATTAATTTCAATATTAGAAGCTGATGGACTTCCACAAAGGTGTGCAACAGCACGAGGCCACCATGGCTGCAGATCTCTCCATGAGCAGGCTGCAGCAACAGGCCTGTTGACCTGTAGCTGTGTGGCTCATACCAGCCTACAGAAGCCTTGAGCAATACACACACCTGCTTTCCCAGTGACAGAAGAAATTGAAGCCCCATCTTCAGGGCCCTGTGCTGATCTTCCCATCCCAGCTGCATCTCCTTCCTGTGGTTTGTGCAACTGTAAGATCATTAGCTAGCTGATTACTAGATGTCAGGATTTTAGGTGGTGGTTTAGATTTAGTTTGAATGTTTTCACAGATGCTTTTGAATACTTTGGCATAAAAGACATAACCCCCCTGTCCTTGTACCTAATTTGTGACACTTTAAGGATTTGTTTGGCTGCTCTTCCTTCCTTAAAATCTCCCTGATCTCATCTTCCTTCCCATGTTCAGTTTTGGGGATTTTTCTTTTCCTTCTGTTTACATGCTCTCCACTTCTGGAAGCAAAGGGAAATGGCTGCTTCTGTGTGGACTCATTCAAACACTGCAGGTATAAAGGTATACAAGAACATTAAAGAAGTATTAGAAGAAACTTTTTCTCACATGGTGGAAAAGTGACGATGCAAACAGACCCATCTTTTGCCCTCTGCTCTGTTGAAAACCCTGTATAAGTCTTCATTCTTCTATTTCTTATCTGTGAACAGCGGGGCAGTGTCATTAATCTCACTCTTCTGGATGGTTGGATAATAAAATATCAAATCAAATTCAGTGTAGGGAAAAAAAAAAACCAAACAATTGGGTGCACACTGGGGAAGAAATCAATCCTAACTGTACATTCAGGAAAGTGTCACCAGTTATCTGTTAGCCTTTCAAGAGGAAGATGATGGAGTTGAAAGAGATCTGGCACAACAGTGGCTTGATCAGTAGCAGTCCTAAAAGCAGGTGTAAGGTTAGGAGTTATTACAAAGACATAGACAACAGGATAGAAGTCATTATTATAGCACTGCGTAAACCCATGACTCCCACTTCTTGAGCACTCCCTCCCTCTGTATTTCTGGCATCTTTATGTTTGAATAAGATTACTGGGAAAAGATCCAAAGGACATATCAAGGACAATAAAAATATGGAAGAGCTTCAGCACAGGGAGTGATCAAGCAGCTTAGGACTATTCAAGATGGAAAAGCAATTGCTGGAAGACTGTGAAATGAGTTCATGGTAGAAAGCAGTGCAGTTCAAGGAAGCATTTCTTTATAAACCATATAGCTCAGCCATGGGAACTCTTGATGCAGAATGTTGTAACTACTGAAAGTTTACAAGCATTCAAAAAACCCCAGACCTCAAAACAACAAAACCAATAAACAACCAAACAAAACAAAGAAAAAAAAAGCAAGCAAAAACCCCCCACAAAAACCCCAACTCACACACAAAAAAAAAATAAAAATCAAACAACAACAACAAAAAAACATACAAAAAAAAACCCAACCAAAACAAAAAAACGCTAACAAACCACACCAATGGAAAGATCCACACAAGAGATATGAAAAGCTACCAATAATGATGACACCTGTGTGTCTGAGGTCTCCTGACCTTATGCATGGAGGGAGTTATATTGAAGTTTGTAGCTTCTAGTTGAATTTCATGTGAATCCTTTATTTTATCCTTACTTAGGTCTGTAAGAGAGCTTTTTCTTCTCACTATCAGCATGATGGAGACATGTCTAAACTGGTCTTTTCCCTCTGGGAAAGTCTGAGGACTATCTCACAGAGAATGACAATGACCTCCTGTTTGCAGGGTGGATGACAATTTCTTTACTTCATGGAGGACTTTCTCTCTTGAAACCTTGTCTTAGAGGTCATAATCTGTGAAACTGATCTTTTCTAAAGGAGTGTTTTTTCCTGTGGTTCTTGTGTCTTTGAAAGGAAAGTTGAGAAGAAAAATACAAGAGATAACAAAACACTTATACTCACAGTGTGATTCAACAGGACACAGAAGGGCAAGAAAATAGAGATCTCTTGAGAAGGGACTGAGGAGAAGCAGGAAAGAAGCTTTCTGTCTTGCAGAGAGGCCAGAATCACTCCCTTGTTTATTGGTAATATAACCTGAAAAGGTGAACTGTTGGAAATAACAAATGCCCAGCACTGAATAGAGGCTCTTTCAGTCTAATGGAGTTGCAGATCACTCATTTGCAACAATGACCAGTCTCAAACAAATAAATTATGACTTCATTCCCTCTTCTATCTCAGATGAGCACTGCCAGGTACTTCCTAGTCACAATGTGGTATAATTAAGTTTCTGGTTGCTTTTTAGCCTGGTCTGGTTAATAAAACCCTGGGCTAGGACTCAAGAGAGCTGGTTTATATGATACATTCTGCAGCTGAGAGCCAGTTCCTCATGAGTGTGTCTCAGTTTCTCCAACTGCTAAACAGAAAAGAAAATGCAGACATTTTAGAAGTGCTTTGAGATCAATAAGAGCAAAGAACTGTGTCCTGGGTTCAGCAGTAGCAGTCATTTTTCTCCTTCTTAGTAGCTAGTGCAGTGCTGTGGTTTTGACTTT